CTGCTGAAACATCGCTGAAGCAAATTGGGTAAGTGAAGATGGATCGATTCAATATTAAGACATGGTCCTGATCTTCCTTTTACATCTCCTCAAATGTCACTTTTATGATATTAAACATTTTTTTTTACTTAAAAGTTGTACTCAAAAGGAATTATATAGTTGCTTGGATCATCAGGGTGTCCTATAGGTTAAATCAAGATGGTAACTAAAGCACTGAACCTGAATTATGATCCACTAGCATTGAACACAACTGATGTGAAATAATTGCATGAGGAATTGCAAAGGAATTAGGATCCAGTACAAAGTTCTATAATAAATAAGGACTAACTTCTGGAATCAGGGGAAATTTCAGCCCTGGTAAAGATTCGAAAATTTGGTTAATAAATTTTTAAGAAATTCAGAACTGTAGTGATATGACTTTTACAGCAGTGCATCTAATAGTGGTATGACTTTGGAATGGTTATAGTAATTTAGAAATAGGCAATAGTGTCATAATAATTGCTGGTTTTATTGTATTCTTCATCGTGACTGAGAGCAAGTTATTCTGAAAGAAAAAAGAAAATCCACACACCAAAAATAAAGCAAAATGCAAACATCTTATGTTTACCTGAATAAAAAGTTAATTGCACTTGTCTTTCGGTGACTGAAATAACAGAACTATAGCAACGTAGTTGCTATAATAAATATTTTTGAGAACTTGACTATACATCTTTCTGTATCTGTAGTTACCTGACTCCTCACCTGTAACTCTGAAAGCTAGAGTTCCTTCCAGCTATCTAAAATCAAGAAGCATAAGGAATCCTAGGCTGCTCCGTATGCTTAGCACAAGAATTCCATACTTGGGCTATTGCTACCCAAAGCAGATACTGCAACCTCAAACTGTTACCTCTTGAAAACAATTATAATGTGCAAGCGATTCACAGGCTTGAAATGCTTTTTGTCTCATAGTTTACTGGCTCTTCTTATAGTTTACTGGCTCTTCTTACAAATGGAAATCAGTGGCTTTGATTAGGTACAGGCTAAAAATATTCCAGTCTGAAAAGAGGATTTGATGGTTACCCTGCATTAGTCATGGGAGTTTACACACTTCATGACACCATGCTGTAAATCTATTGCAACAAAAATTCATTCTGATAGGCCTGCATGAAAATGATGAAGTCACAATCCTTCACAAAGTTTCATAAAAATAACGTTTTTTTTATTTACTTATCCTAAATTTAAAGCAAAAAGAATATTGTCTTGTCCCCGAAGATCATATGGTTGAGTGACACTTTTGAAATGAACCATCAGAAAAATTAATCTCTAGAGCAGAAGCTTGGACAATAAAGTTGATGCATTTTTATTACACCTTTTTGTATCATCATTTCCAATGTAAACCAAATGGAAATGAGATCACATTTTATTTGTATCTTATTTTCTCTTTTAAATAAAATATATTAAGAATTAATAGTAACTAACAGTATCCCAGACGTATAGGAAAGGAATGTGGAGCATATAGAAATAATTTCTCAGAGATACAATTTGTTAATACCAAACCACAAAGATGTTCTCAGTGCCACAGACTGTGTTTGTGTCATGGAAGCTAATGACATCTCTCCCCTTGCTTTCGCTGGCACACAGAGGCATGTTTTCACCATTGAAATTTAAATACGATTTGAGAAACAGAAGGAACAAGCAAAGAGGAAATCCCCAGTACCAAGCCATTTGGGAAAATCCATAAGATTCTTGCATGCTCGCTAGCTGATACATAATATGACACAAATCTGTATTTTCAGCAGGGCTGTTGATTTTGGCTTGCTTTCGCTACTCATAATGGAAGAGTAAAAAGGGGTTTTAAAAGACCCCACAATTATTGGTTTGAGTTTTTAGTGTCTTCTGCTTCATCTCCTTTATCCCTAGACTTTGTGGTCTTCTAACTGTATATACATAATTTCCCTTCTGTTTTGGGCAGCACAGTTGATTGGTATTGAGTCTATAATGGGGTGTCTTGCATGTGTTTTAGCTGTCTTGTCTCTGACACCCACTCAAATATCTCCATCCTGTGAGCTGTTAAGTAGAATCTGGGAGCTGCCATCATCCTTGTACAGTGAAGGAAGTTTCCTGAAGAACAGAGAACTCGCACTGCAACAGAAGCCCCAAATGCTATAGCACAGTTTTCAGTTTAATTAATCCTAAATCAATTACTACTTGCGAAAACAACAACCAAAACACAGCTACCAGTTAGCAGACACAGACATAAAAAAGATGCCCTGGTCAGCCTAAGGGTTAATCTGCTCTGAGTTTGGATGCTAAGCATACTGCTGGATTGTGTACTCAGTACAAACATCACCCTTTTTCGAATGTTAACTGGGAGTGAAAAAAGCAAATGAGTATTTAATGAATATCAATTTAAAAATTAAGGCTCACCTTTATATACCAAAAATCAGTTACCTTTAAAGTATTCTGAGCGAAAATACCTAACGAAAAATGAGCATTTTCTTTGAAGGGCAGAGTAACTTTGATACTTCTATTCATTTTGCATAACCAGAGTCCTCATTTATGAAAGTCAGAAATACTTCTTACAAAGTGCTATAGACTCTATGTAAGCAATTTCATGGCAGATATTGCTTCTATAAAAGCATCCTTTGTATCCAACCGTAAAAACACCCAGCTTCCTTGAAAGCAGGTTTGATGACTTGTGTGTTGTTGCCATGGGTTTCAGATACAGCATATCTCACCAGTTGCTGACAACCCACAACACTTTGAGAAGGCTTTGTGACACAATGATACAACATGAACTCTGATAGATTAGAAATGGAAAGTGGATGTTCTGAGCTAAGAATTGAAACAACATTGTCAGAGACAATTAACAGTAATTAATAATAATCCACACCTACGCTCTGAATTTAACCAGGATACTTTGGCTCAACTGACTTTATTTAAAATCCTTCCTGATACTTCGCATTATACCCATTATACTTCGCCATATTTGATATCTTGTTTACACTGCCAGACTTTTCATGTACACTTTGAAATAGCAGTCTGAGGACCAAGCTCAGAACCAAATCAGCAACCTGCCTGAATTATTTGCTACATGAATGCCTTTGGGACTACCTCTAGATGACTAAGCATGTCTCCCATAGTGGAAAATCTAGTATAATCTTGTCTTTAAAGCTCACTCAAGGTAACAGATGTTTTTCCACCATGTCAATGTGCCTCAATATGCTGTGTGGAGCTCAGCAGTTTCCATTTATCCCATCTGCTTTTCATTGCAATGTGACACAATTCAGGCTGTGCAGATAGGGTCCTTGGGTTCATTGAAATAAAAGAGAGGCATGAAGGAAACATGATCATCCCCACTCCTTAAGAGAGGTATCATTCCCTGTCTTGTTTAGGTCCTTTGTCACACCTTCTTTGTTTACTAAGATGCTGAATATTCCTGTAAAAGTTTTGAGTTGGTGAAATCAGTCTTAGACCATTTGTGCAACTTCTGTAGCTAAAGAAGAAAGTGGTTGTTTATTCTAGTAAAACACATCTGGTAGACTATCACTACAGAAGCATGACCAGAACGTTGTTTATCTATTCCTACCTCCCTAAACATAGGTATAAAGCTAGCCTGCAGT